ATATGATGTGATTTGTCCCAAAGAGCTAAATTTCACAGCCATTTTCAGGACTACACCTTCATGTAAAACGAAGCACCTTCCAGCTTTCCTTGTGGGGGTGGGGATGGAGCTTCTCGGCGCTACCAAACCACCACCCCTTCCTAAAGACCAGCTGGCATGCCTGCTTCACCGCCCGCCCCACCTCCTCATAGTAAAAACTAATCATTGGGTCTGTAGTCTAATGAACTGAGTCTCGCCCACCCGTATCAGTTTCCTGGGTTTGAGGATGTGCGGTGGTTACATAAGATATTGCCACTGGTGCTCGCTGGGCAGTGGGCTCCCCACCCGATGACCCTGCAGGGTGGGAGTGATCTGGCTGCTCCCTAAACGGGCAGCGATGCTACCTACCCTGCAGTACGGTGGTAGGATTGGAGGGGAGGCCTAGGATTTCTGCTACATCTGAGTCTATACTTATTTCTAAACGAAAAGTTTTTCAAAAAATGTTGTGACTTAGGAAACCAAACAGCCAATTGTGCTAGATTCATAATTAAATGAAGACGGTGCTTTGGAAGCCTTGGGGCTATCCCGTTGGCAATCGTACTAAAATAATAATTAACTAAATGGTTTCACTTCAAAGAAGAAAAAAATCAATTACGTGGCATGGGTGACCTCAAGCACTCAGTGGAATGAGGGAGCCCTCTCAGCTCACTGAGTCCCCATGAGGTTCAGGTCACCTCCCTGACCCACATGGTACACGCCTGAAGCACAAGGCAGCAATGGCAGCTGGAGGGTCCTCTGGCACAAAGTCCCAGGTCCCTCGCCTGGGCTATGCGGAGGCAGGAGAGACAATCTAGCTGGGACTGGCCGTGGCAGTTCCTCCCTGCCCAAGGGAAGGCATGGGGCCCGGGAGGAAGGAGCCCAGCTCTGCTGCTGTGTAGCTCAGTAGAGAGGGTGGGGGGTAGAAAATGATCTGATTTCTCTCTAAAATGGGGACGATGCCAACTACCCTGCAATGAGATCAGGACAGAAGATTTGTGGAGTGCCTAAAACAAGGCGGCACATAGTAGGAGCTCAATGCATGTATCTGTATTTAAGGGAGAATGCTCAATTCCTGGCCCATCAACAAGTCTTAACGAAGCACCTCCTACATGCCCAGCTCCACCACAGAAAGCCCTGCCCAAGAAACTGCTTGCGTTCCTTGCTGGAATGCCGTGCTAGAGAACTGCCTGTGCCCCATGGGGCCCATAACGTCTCACCCCTCCTGTGGGCTCCGCAGCACCTCCCAAATGCCGACAGCCTGGACACAGGGATCTTCACTGGCAGGGCCCAGAAAGCAGGTTCCAGCCTTGGTGACAACAACCAGGGACACCCTCACTGAGGACAGATCCCCGATAAACCTCTATATAGATTTGATGGATACATACCGTGCCCCACACTGGCCTCCTGTTAGCCCTGCGCACAGCCACCCATACCCTAACCGACCCCAGCTGTACTGCAGAACATGCATCTGTCCCCTAAGAGCCAACGGGTATGCCTGGGGTGAGCGTCTCCTGGGATGGAGCCTGTCTTTGGCCCCAGGAGACCCCCCCAGCCCACAGGCTGACACATCCTCAAACCCACAGGCTGACCCTGGACTCAGGCCATACACCACCCAGACAAAGCCTGTGTCCTAGATCCTAAGATTTATAACTCATGTGCAGAATTTTGTGCCAGGATTTGACTGGCAGATGAGCAAGCACATAACCATGTGAGCCTGGATTCCCTTTCTTCTCTCAGTTTCTCTGCTTCTCTGTCACTTCCACCAGCCAGTGAAACTCCTAGAGTCCCCGACCTCGAGCCTGCTGCCACGTGGGCCAAAGCAAAGCAGCTGGCCTAATGCTCCAAACAGATCCCCGAGACCAGACCCCAGATCGGGGCAGCGGAAACACACACCATGTCCCGGCATCTCCAAAGCCAAGACTGAGACCCTCATGGAGATAATGAACAGGTCCTCGCTGCTTCCTCCCCTGGGGTTTTTCTCGCTCTGAATTTCCAGACAAGGCAAAGGGCTGGCAGAGCTGCCCCTTCCCAGGGCCATGAGGGTGCAGAGGGATGCATCAGCTTGGTGCGTCTGAACTCTCTGAGGTTCTGCTGAGTCACTGCTGCGGAGACAGAGGCTGGGAGAATCGGCAGGTAAGGGCAGCCACCCTCCCCAAAGGCAGGGGGTAGAAGCAGAGACTCGAGCTGGTGTTAGGTCATAGAGAAGATCTGTAGGGACCCTGCTCTCAGCCCTTTACCAGCTCATGGTCCACCGCTCACTGCAGTGGGTATTGGCCGCTAAGGGCTCTCGGCTGCCCCTCCTCCAAAGGCTCCCCCTCAGCCCTCAAGTCCTCAGGAGCTACCCTGCCACACACCATACCATCTGGGGACGGGGGCAGCCCACAGCCAATGGATGACTGACATGGCAGGTACAGAAGTTGTCCCCTAAGATGGGACAACTCTGTGGTGCCATCCGCCCTCAGCGCCCTCCCCTGCCCTGCCCTGCTCCCCGCACTGAGAGCAGCCCTCAACACCCATTTGCCTAAGAATCCTGGTCTCAGGCTCTGCTTCTAGGGTCTGTGACCTAAGACAGGCAACACTTACCATTGCCCTTCTCTGATGCCCTCTCCTGGGGGGCCCCTTTGACTTGGGGCTGTAGGGGTGGGCTGGGACCCCTCATGCCCACTTGGCTCTCCCTATGGTTCTCATTATGTTAGGTTGTTTTTCCTCCATCTTTTTCCGCCCTGTCCAAGCTGAGTAGAGTATGAAAGGGTTAAGGTAGTTTCTAGTGGGGCGAGGCGGGAGCCAGCGACAGGGTCTGGGAGCCCCACAGCGGGACTCCAAATGGCCAGCAAAGTTATGGGGAGCGAGTGAGCAACAGGGAACAAACCCCATTGAAGGCAGCAGGGCAGAAAGCAGCAGGACCTCCTCTGATGAATGGGAGCTGGGGGCCCGCCAACCTCATTCCTCGGGACCAGCGAGGTTCACCCTTTTGCATCGCATGGCGCACGTAAACTGGCGCCTACAGTTCTGTGGCACGACGGAAAATGTATCTTTTGCTGATCTGACAGAAAAAATAGGTATAATCGTGATTTATTCACGCCAGGCAGCTATGGTTGGGTTGGCTGCTGTCATTTTTTATTTGACAGTCCCAGGGAAAACAGGTCAGTGCCCCTGACTCAACAGTCAGGTGTGGGTGTTTTAAAAACTCTCGCGGCACACCTGCTGAAGATCGCTGCTCTGGACAGTGTCACCCACTACGCACAGGTCACAGGTACACGGGGGATGGAAGGGGTCCGATGCTTCCCCTTTCCTGGGAGCTTGGGGTGGCACGGGGCAGGTGCCTTTGTTTATGGACAGCTGTCACTTATTGAGCATTTGCTACAGGACAGAACCCGTGCAAAGTGCTTTACGTGAATTCTTTTCGTCCTCACCACGACCCTGTAAGGGTTCCCATAAGGGAGGACCCCAGCCCGGTGGCAACCGTCAGCTTATCCTCTCCTGGGGCAGCGGGTGTGGATGGAGCCCTGGCTCCAAGTCAGAGATAAGATAAGAGTTCTGGTGTTGGCTGCACTTCCTGGCTGTGAGGCTTGTGTGAATCTGTTAGCCTCCCCTGGCCTCAGTTTCCTAGCCAGTAAAATGGGGACATAACCCCATCAAATGAGTTACATGTGTGGCTGTGCTGAGTCCCGTGCTGGACATGTGTCAGGATGAAGGTTCACTAACACGTATTTAGGTCCTGCTAGAGGCCAGCCATGGGTTCAAGCATCCGAACGTTCATTCTATCCCTACAGCAGCCCCATGAAGTAGGTATTGTCATCCCACTTTCCAGATGAGGACGATGAGGACACTGAGGCACAGAGAACCTTGGAAACCCTCCAGAGCCTGGTTTCGGGGGTGAAGCCTGGCAACCTGACACCCGAGACACTGGACCAGGGCAGCAGCAGGACGGAACCCTGGCACGTCACCCTGCCCTCCACGAGCGCCCAGGCTTCCAGGTGGGCGCCAGGCTCCCCTCCTCCAGGAGGCCTCAGCTGCCTCCCCAGCTCCCCGGGAGCTCCTTCCCCACCACAGCTGGGGTTTCACAGTGCAGAGGGTCACATCCTGTCTTAACCAGTTTGCTGTCTAGGGAGTAAAGCCTAGTCTTTACTAGGTCTTGTCTCTTCCCCTGGCCTGAGGATTCCTTGGAGAGCAGAAACAAGTCCAGATGTCTCCTGACTCACCAGGCCAGCCCAGCCCCCTCCCCAAGCACTCATTCCTGGGCTGAGCCCTTTATCAACACCCGGGGGCTGAATGACAACGAGCTCCTCTTTCCCTGTGGCGCCGTCCCCCTTCTTGAGCAAACAGGCAGCCTTCATGCCCAAGGCCAGGCCCACCCCAGCGCCAGGGCACCCACTGGCTTCCTGCCGGCTCTGGGAGACTCGTGTCCACAGCCTCCCAGCTGGGCTCTGAGCCCCTGGTGGGCAGAGCATCTGAACTCGACAGGAGCAATGTCTAAGGTCATTACAAACCTGAGTGTGGGATGTTCCAAAGTCCCTCCACACGGCGCAAAGACAGGTAGGGAGGGCACAGGGCCTCGCCTGCGCAGCGGTGCAGGGAGGACTGGGTGGACACCAGCCAGGGAAGTGTGCTGCATTCAAGTTCTCTGTGGGTCTAGGGGGAGCCGCTGGAGAGAGTTCAGCCTGCAGGTGTTTATCCTTTCAGAGGAGAACTTGGTCTCTGTGCTTTTTGTAAAAAGGACCCTAAGTGCACCAACTTGAGAAACTCCTCAGCAGTTACATGGCCCAGGGCCACATACGGCCCTGGGGTGGTGGGAGAGGACCCTGTGCGGACAGCCGCCTTCACAATCAGGGATGTTCAATCCCCTGGGGAGCTGTTAGCATGAAGATTCCTGGGCCTGCCCTGCCCGGAATTTCTGGTTTAAGAGCAGACTTTTCTTGGCCCAAGGAATGCCCCTCCCCAGGTTGCCCCTTATCCCACAGGCAGGGCCATCCAGAGCTTACCTGGGAGGAAGGGAATGATTCTCTGCTTGGGGTCCTTCTGTCCACCTTCAATGGGAAACTTGTCCAAAAGCTGCATCTGAAACACCGAGGGACAGGGTTCAGAAGCCTGGACTGATCCTCGGCATCCCTTCCCCGCTCCACCCCACGCCACCCACTGCTCCGGGGCTGGCTGTCCTCACATGGGTGAGTGACGCCTCAGAGCCCTCATTTCACAGACGGTTACCGAACCACATGGGGCATGAGCGGGGAGGCCAGAGCAGCTCTCTGTGCATCAAAGGGGGCATCTGGGCGATCTCATGGAAGGATGGGGACTGGGTGGGGGGTGGGGGTGGTCTGGAGATGCCACTCAGCAGGCTTTCACACCAGGCTGCAAGTGGTCTTTCCAGAAGCTTCTTTGGGCCCAGTTTTTTCACACCATAGGCTGCATGAGCCCTTAAGCCGCCTGTCATTCCAAATCCTCCCAGGCCAGGATGAAGGAAGAGCCTGCCTGCCACTTCAGATAAACCCACCTTCCAGAACCCCTTCTCTGGGAACAGACCCGGATGCTGTTTTAACTGCAAAACCAAATCCAGCCCTTTGCCCCCAACGCTGGAAGAACCCCACCTTCATTTCCTACCTTCCCACCCTGAGATCCTGGCTGTTTTTCCAGGGACGGACCCACTGGAAGAGTTTCCAGAGTTCTGGAGGAACAACTTTTTTTTCTTCTGCTATTCTGGGCTGAAATTCTGTGTAAACTGGAAAAACACACAGGAGACAGGATGGCCAAGGCTGTGGCCCCCGGCGTGTCGTCCTTCTCCCTTCTGAGGCCCAGGCAGAGCTGGAGCAGAGTGCAGAGGGCAGGGGGAGCCCTGCGCACCCAGCTGTGTGACCTTGGGCAGGGCCCAGGGCTCTCTCAGTTGACCCTCAGGCACCTCATTGATAAAATGAGGAAGATGAGTCACGTGACAGCTGAAGTCCATTTCTTCCTTCAAATGTTGTATTTATTGAGCATCTACGTGGTGCACTGAGCACTAAGAAAGGGGCAGTAAAGAAAAAAAAAGCCTCTGCCCTCAGAGAGTCTGCGTTCTAATGGAGGGAGACAGAGAGTAAACAAATACGTGTGTACTCCGGTGGGGGCGGGGGAAGAAGTGCCATGAAGACAAATGAACTAGGATAAGGTGTTGAACTAGAACCTGGTTGTTACTTTGTACGGGTGGTGAGGAAGGCCCATCGGGTGGCCGTTCAGCGGAGAGCCACAGGAAGTGCAGCGGCAAGCCACACTGGAAGGGGACCGGGGAGGGCAGCGTTTCCAGGCTGGGGAAACAGGAAGCGCAAGGAACCTGCAAAGGCCGGCGTGGCTGGAGCACAGCGAGCGAGGGACCGAAGTCCGGACAACGAGAACCAGGAGGCAAGACCCGCCAGATCACGAAGAGGACGGCTCGAGCTGCAGGGTAGTGGGTGGGCCGCAGCATGGAGGCAGGGAGACCAGTGAAGAGGATCCTTTTGAAGGTGCCCTGGATCTAAGTGCTAGCACTGAAGGTGGTGAAAGTGGTCCTACGCCAGACCTCCCGTGTGTGTGTGTGTGTGTGTGTGCGCGCGCGCACGCACACTATTCCTATGCACCATCCATCCATCCACCCACCCACCCAGCTTTCACACGCGACGTTAGGACTCTCTCTTGCATGGTCATTATCCAACCCACACGGGCTATTTGGAGCCCACACATGGAGGGCGGGTCATTGTCGGAGTCCGTTCAAAACAAAACAGAGACTGCACCATTATGAATTTTCACTTCCCCGAATGCAGACCGCAACGTATGAAAAGCTGGCTCATGAATTTTCAAACCCCACCGTTGTGAGTCCACCTCGCAAACGCTTAGTAATTGCCTGCTACATGTAAACAGGCCACTGTGCCGTAATGCTATAAACTTGTGGTTAGGACTTTAAGAGAAATCAGTATGTTTTCAAATAAATTCTACATAGAGTAGGACTCTGATTTGCTCTTTTTCCCATTTTCCTCACTTGTTTTCTGTTTTGCAAATTTTATTTCTGTATCACATAAAAATTCATGTTCACTGAGGGGGAAAACTAGAAATTACAGAGGCAGTGGCTAGTCTAAAAGAGCGTAAGCATTACTCATAACCCTTCCTCCTGCAAAAGCAACATTAATATTTTGGGATATACACCCTTCCAGACATTCTTCCACGCACACAGATACAATGAGCTCGGCGGCGTTCTTACACTATGTTGGCAGCACACCCCCATGTCAGTGAACACACTTCCATGTTGGCATTCTCAAGTGTGGCACAGAATTCAATACTTGGATGGGCCGCGGTTTATTTAGCTACTTTCCTAGTGTTGGATATTTAGGTTGTTTCTGACTTTTCACTGCTATGTGTGAAACTCTAGTGAAGATCCCAGTCCCTGCATCCATGCACACCTCTTTACTACTTTTTCTATTTTCATTTCAATTTGTTGACATCTATGCATGTTTATAGGTGCCTTAAATCTTTTCTGGAAGAAGACAGAGAAACAGATGGATGGCTGCTGCGTGTCGCCAGCCTTGTGCCTCTGAGCAATGGTCCCACCGAATTCCCGAGGGCGAGAATGGAGACACCTGCAGAGAAAGGCAGGCCCAGCAATGCGCCCTGGTGTGGTCTGCCCTCTCAAACCACTCTCCTCCTGAAAGAAGGGGGCCAGCTGTGGCTAACAAACCCAAGTTGGGGGGTCACCCAAGTCAGGGATCACCCAAGTTGGGGCTCAAGGGCATTAGGCTACAGAAACTTGAAATTCCCGGTCAGCTCTGACACACACTTGTTCTCCGACTCCTAAATGCTTTTTCAGACCTAGGATTCTGAGATTCTCATTAAGAGTGCATAGGAAATGCGGAGTGACCGGGGCAGACAGGATTCAAGCATTCGTTCCTTTCCTCCAAAAGCATATGCCGTACGCCTCTCAGGTGCTGGGCCCTCTGCAGGTGCCACAAATCACGAAAGCCACAGTCCTCACACGGAGTGGCTCACAGTCTAGACCTGGAGCAGGGCGATTCCCAGCCTTCAACACACATGCGAAGCCTCTGCCAACATGCTGAAATGCAGGATCTGATTCAGTAGCTCTGACAGGAATTCAGGTCCTGCATTTCTACCAAGCTCACAGGTGCTGCTAAAACTGCCAGCCTGTGGACCAGGTTTCAAAGACAGTAAAACAAAACAAAAGGGGTGTGGAATACCTCATTAACAATTTGTGTCTTGATTGCATGCTGAAATGATAGATGATATTTTGGATATACCAGGTTATATAAAAAACACTTTAGAAATTTTTTCTAAAGTGTTTTCTTTTACATTTTTTTACATCTTTTACATTTTACATCTTTTACATTTACCTGTTTTCTTTTACATTTTTGAAGTGGCTACTAGAAAATTTTAAACTACCTATGTGGCTCCTATTATTCTATTTTTATTTGGACAGGCTGCTCCGCAGCAAGATGACCCTCAAAGTGCAGTCTGAAGTCTGCCCACACCTGAGTCCCTGGAGGGGTGTGGGTGTCCGTTAAAAATGCTGTTTCCTGGGCCCCATCTGGAAGATGGTGAACTTTCCTCCTGGTGCTAGAAACAGACAAGCAAGTTCAGGAGTGACAGGGGATGATGAGAACATGCAAGCTGAAGGAGGAGGTCGGGGGAGGCTTCCTGAGGAGGTAAATAAAGCCCGCGTGGCAGAGCGACAGCCACAGTCCCTGGGCCCTTCCCCGCTACAGAGCAGTCCAAGTTCCCTCAGTGGGGTCGAGAGCCTCCTGGAAGGCCGGGCTCATCTGCCAGCCCTGCAGGTTTGAGTTTTCCCTCCAAAGGCCTCCTGGAGGATGCTGTGCAGCTGGCTTCTCCTTCTTCTGTACCAGATTCTCCTCTTTCCCCACCTCTGGCTGAAACCGGGCCCTCCTGGGGCTGAGACAAGCTGCTTGCTGAGGGTACTGTGTCAACAGGTCCCGTCCAGAGCCAGTGAGCGCCCAGCCCACCTGCTCCCCTCCAGCCCTGGCTCTCAAGTGCGGAGCCTAGCCACACCTGGCACTAATCCCACTGTGGGACTGGCAGAGCCTCAGCGTCTGTCCTCTGTGGCATCCCCGAGGCTCACCACTAACCAGCTGCCGGAGATAGTCTCTTCGCCCCCACGTCATCTTTCAAAGAAAGCAAATCCCCTTGTTCGGACTCCAGAGCAAACCAAATAAAGGCGGCCCAGCTGAGTTTACTCAGCGTGGGGGGCTCGCAGACTGCACTGTTCAGCGTCTATGGCACAGAGGTGGGCGGTGGAATAAAAAATAAACATCTGGGGCCATGTTTGATATACAATCCCAATGTCACCCCACCCAGGGGGCCAGGCAGGCTGCACAGTGGCCCTGTAACCTGGTCGGTGCTCCCTGTGCAGGGCTGGGTTCGAGAGATAAAGCGCTCAGTGAAAGGCTCAGGGGGCGTCTCCTGAAGAGGCCCGCGCAGGCCTTCCGGGAGGAGGAAGCCTGGTGCGTGGGCCGGGGAGGAAGGAAGGCTCCGCCCAGCACAGACTTCTGCTGCGGCCACCTTTTGGGGCAGGAAGTGGATTCTCCTGTCACTCCAGCAAAGGCCTGACTCAGGCCAGAAGAAAAGCAGGGCCCGTTGCCAGGGTCCTTCTTAGAGAGAGAGGCGTTTGGCTCGTGGAGCCCTTTGCAACCACATCAGAACCCCACAGTGCGTGGAGGATGCCCGGCTGTTTACCTAAGGGGCGGATAGTGTGAGAGATACAGGACGGCCTGGCTCCTGTCAGAGAGCCGCCCCCGCCAGAGAAGGCAGATTCAGCAGCTCTTCCGAGGCAGGGCTGAACAGCAACACACACGGAGCAGAGAGAAGTGTGGGCACCGCGTCCAGCTGGGGCACATCTGTAGCCCAAGAGGCCAACTCCTCGCCCTTCCAAGGGGGTGGAGGTCCCCGTAACTCCAGCTTTGGGGCTCCGATCCTCAAACCTTAATCCCATTTTTTCAGCTCAGGAACAAAGGGAACATTCACTACAAGGAACCTGGTGGTACCTGGACCCTGAAAGTCCCCTTACAAAGAGGCAAGGCCACCCAGTCTCCCTG